GCGCGGAACAGGAGTTTCTGTTTCCTGTACCCGGTCGGACTGACAGGAAGTGCACACTCAGTGTGCACCTTGTGCACCTTCCTATCACTCCGGCCGGCCGGCCACCGCGGACCGGAGTGCCACGCTACAGGGGAGGGGAGAAGCTGCAGCCGCCTGACTGCTCTTCACAGAGCGCTCGGGCGGCTGCAGTATTTAAAGGGCCGGCCCCAGGTGCCGACGGCCCACCGGGAAATTTCCCGGTATCCCGGTGGGCCAGTCCGGCCCTGAACAGTACGTATCCCCCAACCATCCAGTATATTTCCTCCAACTCCATCCCATAGCAGATTTCCACACATCTAGCCTTCAACAGATCTACCTTCATTCTGCCAGATGATCTCCCATAAACAGCAGTATATCTCCTACACTCCTACATTTACACTCCCACACTTACATACAGACAGCCACAAATACACAAATGCCAGCCTCCTTAAGCCCAGTGTGAGTCTTAGCAGGCTGGATAATGACCAAATAATCTTGTCCCCTCCCACGTAGAGTTGCAGGAACTCATCTGTTTAGCCAGATACACAGGCTAGCTGTCCCTGCTGTCACAGTGAATCTCTGTTTTTAATCTTTCAGGATTCTTTTCTTTCAGGAATTGTATTGGAGGAGTGGAGAAAGGAAGATGTGGTTCCTATTTTCAAAGAGCGTTCAAAATCTTTGCCTGGAAATTCCAGACCTGTGAGCTTAACTTCTGTGTCTGGGAAAGTATTTGAAGCAGTGGCGTAGCAAAGGGGGGCGGGTCTGCCCTATGCGGCACATTTTTGGGGAACGCAAGGTCCCTGCTCATTCCCATATTGGCGGTGGAAGTGGCCTCCTCCTCCCTTCTGAGTGAGACCTGGCAGCGATCCTACTCTGCTTGCCAGGTATTCTTCATGTGGTGCTGTGAGTGAGGGGAAGAGGCGGAGCCAAGGGACAGGAAAATAAGTCACTTCCTGTGCTCTCCTGTCCTGCGGAGTGCTGGCAGAGTCAAGATGAAGAGCAGCATGGCAGAGACACCAGGTATGGTCTTCCCTGCACAGTCCCCTCCTCCTCCTTTCCTGCACCCAGACAGCCCCTGCACCCTAACAGTGCCCCAGTGCCCTAACAATGCTCATCCATATGCTGCTTCAGCTAGCCTGTGCAATGTGTCAAATATTTTTCTTCGCTTTTAGAAATTCTGGCCTGGATGTCCATTGAATTAAGGTTCTTAAATTGCAGATAATTTGCTCCATCTCTGTGTATCAATGTATCAGCTAATGAGCAAAGTCTATGCTGTAGAGTTGAACCATATTTCTTGGACTCTTTAGGTCTCTTTTGTGCCATAATATCATAGGTAAGATATTTAAAAATATACTTATACATGATAGACCACACATATAGACTGAAACAGTACAAAGAGAGAGGAAAATTAAAAGATGAAATTTAAGGGTATGAAAAGTGTATTTGGGTGAAAAGGAGGGGAAACATCAAAATTCTTGGCAAGCGATAAGGTAATTGTAAATGTTACGCCAAAACAGCTGAATTAGAAAAATTCTCCAACTCATCGCTACTTTCTTATTCTTCTCCTACATAATTTTCCTATTTATTGGACAAACCGTTGTGTTTAATATTTGCTGCTTTGAAACAACACAACTAAAGTATGACATTTACACACTAGATGGCAGTAAGAACTCAATAGAAATATAACAAAATATGACCAAAAAAAAAAAAACAACATTCCAAGTAGACTTCAAATGAATTGTTTCTCCAAAGAGCATTTTTGGTTCAGATGGACAAAATTTGAGATATATTGGTCTGGGTGAATTTTGTCCATGCAATTGTTTTGGGGAAAACAATTTGGGCGACCAAAAATGGCATTAAGAAGATCTCAGATCAAGTCAGAAGTAGTGAAATAGGAGGAGCAGGAACAAAATGAAATAATGTAGTTTTTTTTTTCGTTTTTTTTTCACTGTTCCACCATTTTTCCCTCTATTTGTCATGTCTCACTTGAGTTAAGAAAAAAATAAATCATGGACCGATTCTTGCAACAGCTTGATGAAGTTTTCTCACGTTTCTGGGCAGAACTGAAGACTCGCAAGGCAACTACCACACGACAGCCTCAAGTGACAGTGACTCCTGTCTCTTTGAAAACTAACCCACCTGGGCCAAGAGCCACAAGGGACTTGGTCCCAATGCATCCTCCACACAGACAGAGGGCAACCCGAAGCTGGCGGCGCAAGACAAGGCCTTCTGTTTCTCCTAGAGTAAGGAGGTCTGGAACTTTCAGAGCCTTTGAGACCGCGGCTTGCAGATGTTGGCTCCCTTCAGGGCCTGGGGTTTGAGTGATCCTTCCCTCACTTTCACTACCTGCATCACCTCCTTGTGATAATGCTGCACATTCCAAGCATGGGAATTGGCTGACCACTAAAACGCTGCTTTGCGCAGCTCTACATTATGCAATAAGAGTCTCCATGATTATTGCAAGCACCATTCTGCCATTGTGGTTTTTCTTTGCCTCTCTTTTCGGTATATTCATTTATATGGCGGACACTCTCATCCTGTTAGGTGCAGTAGCAAGTTTTGGTGACTTGATAGGCACAATCGCATATCATGTTGTGTGGCACTATTACTAACTATATTGTCCGTTTACTTTGCATATGCTTGCTATCACTGTTGTGGCATTCCAAGCCTGATTGTACATCTATGCACAAATAAAACAAGTGACAAAAATATCAACATTTTGTGACTGTCCCCTATCCATCATTTTTTCTTTTTTTGTGCTATAGCAGGATCCATTGAAACATGAAACAAACTAAACGGTTTGTTCATTGCTCGTTTAATTTATTTTGTGATCTGGCTATATAGCTTATGGCAATTTCCCCCCAAAAAAATTGTTTTATATTGAAGTCTAAAGTTAAATATATAAAGGTAAGGGATAATATTTGCATTTAAAAACTTAGATGGGTAACCAATAGGTTGCATAAATCTGTTTCCAATTAAAGCTTCAAATGTGCCTTTTTAAAATAAATTGTTCATTCCTATTCCTGCATCTCCTCATATAAAACTGTGATGTGTACATCATCAGTGTGCAGGAATCAGCTGCCATGTTCATTAATTCGTTTTGTGATGAAATGTATAACAGTGCTGGACAAAGCCCAGGAGCTAGGGATCTATGGAGCCAAACCTTTTTATGTTATATGGTTATTTATAGAAGTACCGCTTCCCATGCTCCTTAACAAAATAAATATCTGACTTGCTCCTAATTTCTAGATGATTGTGTCCATTCATGTGTAAAAGGTTACAAAAAAGGGGGGGTGGGGGGAGAGGATGGGGAAGTATTATGCTTTTCTACAAAGATCAATAGCATTAAACCCCCACTCTTCCTTGAACTACATGATGAGGACAAAAGCTGTCTACAGCTGATGTAAATGTGCTCTGTACATTTAATAAAATGCAGACATGACCCTGTTTTCCTCTAAACCTCAAAACCCTTGATATATTTATACCATGAGACCAAAAGAAAACAAATTTTCTAAATTAAGCACAGAAATAAGCCTGGGATAGAAAAAAACAATCCTGTATCCCCCTACTTATCCCTAGATCCTGAAACTCAAATTCCTTGTGGTTGATGACTTGACTGATTGGAAGGGTTAAATTAGGCCACTGTGCTAATTAAGAGAATTTTTAAGGCAATTCTAAATCCTCTGATATGGGTACATCCCATCTTCTCGGTTGATTGGTGAATGTTAGTGTTGGTATTTTTTGTTTTTTTTATTGAAGTCCATGTTGGTATGGTTTTTATTGAAGTCCAGAAATAAACATTAATTGCCTCTGTCTCAGACACCGACTTTTTTCTTATTTCTGTAACTGTAAATAGAATGTCCTGGCTTGTGTCCAAAGGGCCCACTTTGACTGTATGATCATTTCAGACCAGTGAAAAGAGAAATGAGAAGTGTATTTTACACTCATGCACCATTTGTGGGGTTAATGGACACTTCTCCCTTTAGTTTAAAACTGCACCAAAGCAGTTGATGTGCAGAAAGATAAATTGTATAAAATATATTTAAACATTTTCAGTATAAACTAGCTCATATGACACAGATGCACGATTAAGAACTATGGGAACTCCATGCCCTCTGCAAAAATAGTAAGGACAGTGAATTTCTGTTCAATCCCACCATTGGCGTATGAAGAAAATCAGGGAGGGGGGAAAAGACTTTCATATCAAATACATAAGGAATATAAGGAGTTTCAAGGTTGTACTTGATGGAGTTAAGTAGTTTTCTTAACCTACACTACTATGTAACTAGATGAAGAAAAAAAAAAAGTATTCACTAGCCACTAGATTAGTGCTACCATGTATGTGGAATGACATCCTAAAGTACACATATGAAACCAAAATAGTAGCATACAAGTGTATAGTGGCATTTTTAGGAATTTATATAGGTGGCAGAAATGGCAATAGCTTTAAACTTACTGGTGGGTCTGTGCACATGTCAAGGAACTAAAATTAACCCCAAACCCCAGGAGAGCCATCACATCCCTGAACAGGGGAGGGGAACCAGGGACTGACCCAGGAGCTGGCACTCCTTTCCTATCAGGAGATTAAAGCTATATAGATGTACTACCCAGCCCTGTGTAGATTGTGTCCTACAGTTATCTGGGAACTCCCTGTAACATGATTGGGGAAGCCGCAGTCAGGTCACAGAGAGGGAAGCCAAGTTAAAGCCACGTGGGGGGAATGGATAAAGAGATAGCTGTCCCGAGCTGAGGGGGGAGCTAGGGTGACTGTGGTCTGAGTCATTGAATGAGGCCTTGCCCCCTGGCCCCCACCCGGAGTGCCCTAGTCACTATGTCCCGGTCACAGCTCACCGTAGCTCCGATAATGTAGGCTGGCTGTGATGAGAGACATGGCTGGGTGGTGTGCGGTCGACCCGGTTTGCGGGAGGACAAGGAGGAAGTGGAGGCTGCAGCATGCCCTGGGTGGGAGCGACTTGTACTTGGAGCCGGCAAGGAGCGAGTCTGAAAGGCCAGAGCCGGGACAAGGTTGAAAAGGACTCTGGCCCCTCCTCCTGCGCAGTGACGTCATGCAGCCGCCCTCTTTAGAGAGGCAGAAAGCAGAAGGTGAACGGGGACAACTCCTGGAACGTCTGGGAGGGTTGGGATGCCTGCGCACACGGGGGAAGGGTGTCATTTTCGGCCGAAATGGAATGGGTCCATTTTCGGCAGAAAACTTTGGTGCACTATATGTATATATGTATGAACTTAGGGGTCTATTTGTGTGTAGTGTTGGCATTTGAATTCAGTTGTAGGTTTGTATGTACTGTTGCCAATGTTGTTCTAGTGTGTTTGAAAGTAGGGGTGTGTTTGTATGTAGTGTTGGCCTTAGATTGTAGGGGTGTGTTTGTACTTAGTGTTCATGTTTGAATGCTGGGGTGTGTTTGCATGTAGTGTAGGTCTTTGATTGTAGAGGTGTTTGTATTTAGTGTTGATGTTTGAATGCTGGGATGTATACACATATACGGCTACACCCCCCCCCCCCAGATGCGCATGCATACCTATACATAAAAATACACACAGAAGTAGCAATTTACATATTGTTAAATACCCTCCTGTTTCCATACCTTTTGGATTTATGATAAGTGGCTTTACTTGGCTGGCTGATGGGGGTATGAGACTGACCAGGCTCCCTGTCTGCAGTGCTCCCTCCTCCCCTCTCTGCACCAAATCAGTCCTCCAGCCCTCAGGAATGGTGCAGGAAAGTACATAAAGTAAGGACTTCCCTTCTATCATGGAAATGGAAGCTTCCTTTTTGTAGAGATCAGCCTGGCAATCAAGTGGGTGTTATCAGCCTCCTGTTTTGACATGTTCAGCATGAAATCCAACAAAATACTGGGCTCGCCGATATGGGATGATTAGGCTGGGAGTCTGTCTCTCCCTGTTGCCTGGTGGCACTAGGCTTAACATTACCACTGCCTAAGGGTGGTCGTATTGGAGTAAGTACCATTAGTGGTATTTGGTTGAGTATAACTGAAGATTATGCTAGCGCAGTATACTAATAATCTTAATTTTAATAATGACAGGAGGCGAGTATTTTGCATTAACTTTCTTTACTACCTCCATAGCAGCAAAGAAAAAAAAAACAGTTGAAACAAAGAACCAATCAGAACGTAGTCAGAGTATATATGTCTAAGCATATCCATATCACTTCCTCTTGACAAATGCGACATCACAAGTCCATAACTCAATGAATAACTTGTCCGATCCAACTTGTTAAACTGAAAGAAAAGAGACTAGTTTCAGATATACCGAACCGACCATATTAAATATATATCTATGAGTATATATAAACGTTATAATGAACTAATCTAACTAAACATAAGGTGTTATCATAAAGAGTCAATCCACATTTGCTATAAACATCTACAATCCATACCAATGTTCATCCCAGTAAATAGATTTAATCCTAAACTAGAATTTTACCCCATTAACTTACCTCAGTCTAGGGTTGGGAACATAAAGTCGAAAGGGGAGAAATACTTGCCTCTTGTCATTATTAAAATTAAGATTATTATTAAAATGCGCTAGCTTAATCTTCAACTTTACCACATGACAGGAGACTTCATATTTTGCAAATTTAACTCTTAGGCAGAAGAGAAAACGCGGCCTTAGATGACGGACAGAAGTAGAATGTCCGAAACGTCGATTTGCGGGACCAGTCCACCGCTGGTAATATATCCAACAATGACACCCCTGCCATAAACGCAGACGATGCTGCCGCACCTCGCACGGAGTGCGCACTGAAAGATAGGTCTATACCGGCTAGGGTGAGGAGCCATCTAATCCATCTGGACAGTGTGGTGACCGAAACCGGACCGTGAGGGCTAACATGATACCAGTAGTTGTCGGGCTGTTGACTAGCATAAGGTCTCCATGGCTGTCACATATGCCCGCAAAGCCGCAACCACACACAGTTGAGGGTCCGAGGCAAAGAACGGGTAGAAGACAAACGATGAATCAGATTTAGTCCGTCATAATATATGGAATGTGACCCGTTCCGGGGCAATAGTAAAGGCGTCCGTATCAAATGCCCGAACCTCGACGAAACGAGGCACAATAGGAAGGTAAATTTGTCCGTCAATTGTCATAAGGATAGCAGCTCGTTAGGTGGCCACCCCCTCAGGAACTGGAGTACAACATCCACATCCCATAGATGTTGGTCCTTAGGGGCTGGAGCAGTCTCAGTTTGATGCCTCGCAATAGTCGACAGATCAGAGGGTCCTGCCCAACCGCTCTTCCCTGGGACGATACATGGGCTGCCGATATAGAGGATATGATGACATTGATGGTGTGATATGACTTACCTTCCTCGAAGATTGAAGAGAGGAAGTTCATAATGTCGGAAACAGGAGCTGTAAAGGGATCAAGACCCCGTCCCACGCACCAACTGGTCCAAGATCGCCAGGCAGATAAGTAACTATTTCGCATTCCTGGGGCCCAGGAGTCCCACAGTAGATCTCTAGTTGTTATCGATAAGTAGTTGGTACACCATGCTTCCCTGAAAGAGTCCAGGCCACCAAGGACAGATGTCGGTCCAGAAGCATAGGGTGTGGATTCCCCTCTGGGTTTCGGAGCAGGGTTGAGTCGTCCGGCAGAACAATTGGATCTTAGCAAGACATCTCGAGGAGGTCTGGGAACCAGGGTTGGCTCGGCCATAGGGGCATCAGAAGGGTAATCGTCACTTCCCATCTCTGGATGTGGAGGAGTACTCTCGCAATCATTGCGAATGGGGGAAAGGCATAAGCCCCTTGTGTCGGCCAGTGCTGGGTGAAGGCACCCACCACCGTGCATTCCGGGTCTGGAAGCCAGCTGTAAAATTGTGGAAGTTGACAATTGTTGCATGAGGCAAACAGATCCAGTAGGATCTGTTCGTTCAGGTAGGCGAATATCTGCGGGTTTAATTGCAAGTCACTGGCGTCTCCCCAGTGTCGAGAGTACCAATCTGCGGTAAGGTTCAACTCCCCTGGTAGATGCTCTGCCCTGATCGTGATGTTGCGTGGGAGGCAATAGTCAAAGATTTTCTTTGTCAAGTCTACCAATGTTTGGGAACGAGTCTCTCCCAAATGATTGATGTACCGTATTGCAGATACGTTGTCCATCCGCAGAAGGATACAAACAAATTGTCCGTTCGCCAGGCTGCATATAGCGAATGAATCCGCAAGTAGTTCCAGGCAATTGATATGCATTGTGAGTTCCCCCATCGGTGGCACCCATCCCCATCGGCTCGCGTCCGATTCCAGCATGAAGTCCGGGTGGTTGCCAAATATGGCACAACCATTCCATGCTTGCATGCAGTTGAGCCACCATTCGATTTCTTGACGCACCTAGTCAGTCAGCGGAACTGGCTGGTTGTATGTGTTGTTCTGTCGGAGGAAGACGGGAGGTGGAGTGTGCAAGACCTGGAGTCTATCTCGAAGCCCAGGAATTGAATTTTCCTAGTGGGAGTCAGTGCGGACTTGGCCCCATTGACAATGAAACCCAGAGAATCCAATAATTGTACCGTATAGTCGGAATGTTGTGAGGCCAGGTCGCTCGTTCTGCAGAACAGGAGTATGTCGTCCAGGTAAATGATACATCTGATCCCTCAAGTTCTGAGGTGGGCCACCACCGGTTTCAGCATTTTTGTGAAACACCACGGTGCGGAGCTGAGCCCGAAAGGGAGGCAAGTGAACTGCCATGGAAAACCGTGCCATAGGAACCGGAGGAAGGGACGACTGTCTTTGTGAATTGGAATCAACAGGTATGTATCTTTGAGGTCTAGATGCATAAACCAGTCTCCTCCTTGTAGGAGATCCCATAGTAAGTGTATGCCTTCCATCTTGAAGTGGCGATAGGTAACGTGAACGTTCGGTTCCCTTAAATTTATCACCGGCCTGAAGTCTCCGGTTTTCTTGCGGACGAGAAACATATTGCTGAAGAAGCCCCCTCGTTCGTGCACGGGTTGTATTGTGCCTTTCGTGCATAGGTAGCGGAGCTCCAATTCTATGAGATGAGCGTCCAAGGTGGAGAAGCATAGGGGACGAGGAGGTTGTTTCTGTATGGGAAACGTCTGTAATTCGATGTAACTGTTGACCGTCTGTAACACCCAAGCATCTGTGGATAGTTTTGCCCAATTCTGGGAAAAAAGAAAAACACGGCCGGCAGTCACGGTTAGTTGAGACATTGATAAGTGTTGGTCTCTTACATGTGGGGAGTCCATGACCACCACGTCCCCTGTCTGTGCCCCTTTGGTAATAGGGGCAGTGTTGTCTAGAGCCAGTTTCCTGGTAGGATTGTTACGGGTAAAACTATTGTGGGTGTCCCATACGGGGGCCTGATGGCCAAAATCGGCTGGTGGCACAGCCCCATGGCCGACCAGCCCTGGAAAAATACCTCTGGAAGGATTACCTCTGAAGACCTTACGCATGAATGTGCGGGCCCTGTTCAAAGAGGAGAACATGTTCACGTGTTTGTTAAACTCTTTCATGAAGGCCTCTCCAAAAAGCTTTCCCTGTGCCTGTGGGCCTAATTCTTTTACCCCCAGATCTGCCAATTTGGGGTCGATGCAGAAGAGTGCTGCACGGCGCCGCTCTGCTGAGAGGGCCACATTGGTGTTCCCGAGAAAGCAGAAACCCCTTTGGGTCCACTCTCTGATATAGCGTGCCCATTCACACACCATGTCCGTTTTAAATGAGTCTGCTCTGGTGGAAGTGTCATCCGCCAGTACATCACACGGGCCAGTGGCTCCACTGTGTCCAGGAGCTTGTCTTGTGCCCCCTTTGACCCCCTCGTTCCATAAAGGCCAGCATGAGTTGGTCAAGCTCTGGCGTGAATGCCAACATATCTGGCAGGGATGGTATGAGGCATTCCGCCCTCATCCATTTGCGGACGTGTTTTTCCAGGGTTTGTGGATCCAAAAGTGCATGAACGTGAGGAGATGGTCAGGTGGAGCCCATTCCATGGAGCAGGGGTGCCTTATGTTTCGAGAGTCGAACATCCTCTGACCCGTGGCATCCAGAAAGATCTCCTGTTCCTGTGTAGCGGATGTAGCAGACAACTCAGCATCCCCTTTACTCTGGGGCTCACCCAGGAAGGTCTCCCTAATATAGGCGTTTGGAGCCCCAATCGCGTTCGCCGGAGTCTGAGACCTCTGTGCCTGCCACCCGTCCAGGATGGAGAGGGAGTGGGGCATATCCTTATCCTCATCTGAAGAAATCTCCCGAGTTACTGTGGGGGCCACGGGCATATGGCGCTTATTGCGTTTGAGGGGCGCCTTGCCCTTGCTAGCGTTTTGCCGGGCACAGTCTCTCCTTTGAGGAGTCATCTGACTCATCTGATTCCTCCCTGGTATAGGTATGTTTGCCAACCGGCTTGCTGGTATCAGAGGCCATTGGTAGCACCTTCGCCATAGCCTTTTCCAGGGACGCAGCCACCGCTGCATTAATCATGGCCTGAAGGTCAATGAGATTCTGTGTGTCTTCCATAATATCAGGGCACTAACAGGCACAGGTTACACCAACCTGAACTGTTCCCTGTGGAAGAATGCAGGAAATCACCGCTGGAATTGGAGCTGATAAACTTCCAAAATGAGAGCCTCGTCCTGCTGAGTGAGCATCTACCAAAAATACAACAAAAGGACCACCATGGGTCTCGCAAGAGACCCTAGCTAGCTGGGACAGCAAAAAGCCACGAAAGGCGTTCGTGGGAAGAGGTAAACATCAGGGAGTGAGTGGGAGCGTTTGGCAGAAGTTTGAAAAACGGACTGTTCGTGTTCGTGATGAAAGAACTGCCGCATGCAAGCAGGGGTAAGAACTCCCGGAACGGAGATCCCCGAATGGGAGGTAGTTCAGAGACCGTAGTAATTCAGGGAGCTCGCGACTGCCCATTCGTGTCAAAATGCACGCAACCAGTGATTGCGTGGGAGAGAAAGTGAAAGTGGTAAACATATCCACAAGACAGGGGGAAAGCAAGGTCGCCTCAGAAGAGAGGGTCTGAGGGGAGAGAACCCTCAACAGATAACAGCCCTACAGCAGTTGGTCAAATAGAGGATCCCCTACCAACCTCAGGAAAGCAGAACCTGAATACAATAATGTATAACAGTTGAAATACACAATTAAATGTATGTATGTATATACTCTGACTGCGTTCTGATTGTTTTTTTTGTGTCAACAGTTTTTCTCTTTGCTGCTGTGTATTTAATAAAGAAAGTTAATGCAAAATATGAAGCCTCCTGTCATGTGGTAAAATTAGATACCTCACCAGCAGACCAGGTGTCTGCCCTAATACTTTGTCTTTCTATTTCTTCCATCTCCAATTAAGACTTGTGTTGTGCTGCAAATGTTGGGTCATGCCAGAACTAGTGCTTCCTCTACTAACTTTCTTGCCATAGAATTTGCACATTGAAATTCACATTTCTGGCTGTCAAACTTTACTTCAGGGCGATATATTAGCATTAACTCTGGTGGAATACTATTCATAAATAAGAATGTATACAGAGATATTTACAATCCATTAGACATAGGTTGTAAACCAAAGTATTAGCAATCTCTTGTAAGTCGTGGGCGAAACGTGCGTGTCAGGGTAACTCCTGGTCTTGAGACTTCATTTTTATTTCACATTTCATTAAGACCGGATATTTTTTCTGTTTCATGACCCCGAGTTGGCTTAACCGCTTATGCTTCAGGCAGCACTATAATAGTAGATCTATTGAGGATCAGATGCTCTGTCCTCTTTTCTGATTTTCTGTGATATTCACTATTTCTCAACAGCTGGAGCGGTTGAGCATTTATTCACTTGAGCTACTTTATTAAGCATAATAGCCTTTTGTAGCAGGGTTCGGATACTTAGTATACTAATTATCAGAATGTTGGTGCAGCGTCCTATATAGCTCGGCACATAGATTATTACAATTAAATTCTTGCATCCATATTTCTTCCCTTTTTATGTTGCAGCTAGGATACCCTGCAGTTTGACAAACATATTTGCTACAATGCAGAGACAATAACGTATATAGCCCATGCATATTGATAATTTTACATGGCACAAGGTACGTGGCTCGTTCAGCTTTATTTGGAGATTCGTTACAAGAGCTTTCCTGTGTTATGCTGCAGCTTGGTTACTTTGTATCCAGATAACAAACCTGCTACAATATAGTGACTAATATATATATAGCACATGTAAATTGCAAAACTTAGTTTTGCATATATTACTGGATGAAGGTTTCTGAAAACTTTTGAACAGAACCTCATTATGATTATACTCTCTCAGTAATTATCATGTTTACCCTTTATTATTTTTTCTGTATATACTTTAGTTGATTTATTTAGATTTCTATTATGATCTATTTCAACCTGGGAATTTGACCATTATTTTTACAGTGGTCCAATATTTACATATTTCATTATAAACAGGTCACTTACAAGAGATTGCTAATACGTTGGTTTACAACCTATGTCTAATGGATTGTAAATATCTCTGTATACATTCTTATTTATGAATAGTATTCTTATTTAGGACATTCAGACACTAATTTTACTATTACTAATAAAAGTTACATTTTAAGGGCACTCACTTTCTCTTTTTCACTATTTCTTTAGTGTTTGGGTTAACCCCTGTATGAGTACCCTTTAAGCTTCCTCTTTCTCGCATTACTTTTTAACTCTGGTGGACTTGCATCTTTGGAAGCAGTCACACTAGCACTTGGTTAAATAATGGGAATGGAAATGGTGGTGTTAATCTTAATGGGTGAGCTATTTCTAGCACTGATAGAAGATGTTGCTCCACCTGTTTCCATTAAATAAGGAGATTCTACTACAGATAGAGATGGAAAAAATGGCGAGTGCACAGTAGGTTCACAAAATAGTGGACTGCTGCCTCTCCTCTCTGGACTCTTCTCTTGTACTTCCTCTATCATAGTTTATTTCCAGAAGGGGAGGGTTTGTAAAGGCTGTAGAAAGGAGACTTGCAGATTTTGCAAGCTGTTTTTAGATATACCATCAATGAAAAAAAAAATGCATAATTAAATGCATGCATGTTTTAATTTAGGGCATGTCTACTAAATAGTGATTTTTATTTACTTACCATAAGTTTCATGTTCTTTTCTTTCTGTAATCTGCTTAATATTTGGAATTTCAACAAAGAAGAAATATAATGTTGATACAATGTCAATTTCTGAGTGCAAGGACCCCAGGAGGGGGCCCGGCGGCTTGCTCTTTATGCCGCCGGGTGCGAGGCCCTCCATTACAGTCTGCCCTGGGAGGAGAGAGCCCAGCTTATGGTCTGCAACTCTGCCGGGTGCAGAGCTGCAAACTGAGGTTGCTTAATCTCCAGCCAATCAGAGCGTTGCCGTGGGTGCAGAGAGCCAGACCACAGGACCACCAGGAAGAGAGCCACTGGACCTCCAAGGGAATCATATAAAAAAAAAAAAAGTTATGACCCCCTCAACACCCTGTCACAGCCCCCCACCCTACACTGTCACCCTGCATCCACCTTGTCCCAGCCTCTACTACTCTATCAAAGCCCCCTAACCCTGCCATAGCCCCCTCCAATCCTGTCTTATTTACCCCACCCTCACCTTATCACAATCCACATGCAAGTATTACCCCTTTACTCACCCTGTCACAGCCACTAACTGAAGTAATTCATCATATACACACACAGTGATGAAACGTAGCTTTGGCATAACACAATGCATTAAGGCCATAGGA